CAATCACGACAACACCGAGAGGAAGGCACAAGTAATGTAGGATAGATCAGGTGTCAAAGGCTAATCGGTGTTGGTTTGAAAATCTCTCGTAAGTGCCGGTTTTTCCAACCGACAACCCTCACACGGCACCGATGACCCTATAACAATATATAGGTACTGGTTGAGTGGTTGTCGACGATAAACAACACTTGCAGCTTTGAACGAGAAAACAAAAAGGGGAAGCTGATGAATCAGCTCATTCGAGCCGGTTTTGTTTTGCATCTAAGGTCCTTCGTCCAACGAATTTGATGTTTCTGCTAAGACTTAGATTTGCTGGATGTGGCACTCAGCGCTTACCAGATTTTGGACTGGCCTAATTACTCAGTTCAACATCAAGAGATGCTAACGTACAAAGCAAGCATCAGAGCGAAGGAGATTCTGAAAAAAAAAAAAGTTTAGTCGGCAAATTTCTCCGGGATGTGGCGGATGAAACCATAAAAAAGTTAATCCAGGATCTGCACCGTCGCGCCGACTGCCCCCTAATTGAAAACGATATTTGAAGAGAAATTCAGTGCACATCTAATAATTGAGCACAATAGAGCAGCAACACCGACCACCGTCATGAACTGGTGAAAGTCCCTGCTAATAAAAGATGAAATATTTTTGGGGCAATTGCTGTTCTCTGCCGGTCTATATGATGTGTACTCTAATTTGGGCAAGACAAGGACCTAAGAACGAACAGGAACCATGAAAAAGACCTCAGTGATGTAATGCTGTTGGCCCTTGAAAGGGCTCTTTAACTTGCAGCATTGCAGTGACGCATGCTTTTGTTGTTTAGCCTCGGAAGATGTCGCTGTTACCAAGAAAGAAAAGTGAAGGTTGGATTTATTTGGCATATTGATCGACAATTTTTTTTGGTGAACACACAAAAATATTGCACGTCAATGGACACGGCTAGATCGCGCGCTAGCGGCATATCGCTAACCAGCGACGCCCTTCTCTTCCCAAAACGTTACTAGTACACTCAACAGTACATGCCTTTTTTTTTTCTTCCTTGAGAATTTTCTCCTAAATTACTTATCCGATCTATAATCCGATTACACTGTTATGATCATTGCAATTAAATCTTTACAACAAGATCTTAAACGATTATATTCTGATAAAAAAATATCTATGTTGTAAATTACTTTTATTATATATGTAAGTTACTTTTGTCCTATATATAAATTACTTATAGATTCAAGCTCTTTAATAACTTATATATTTTAAATCACGTATTATTTTCATGATCTATTTATTTACATCATTGTACTCTACATAAGATATGAGACAAAACAATATCCATGTTGAATATATTCAAACATTTCATTAATTTAAAAGTAATTTATTTAAATTGTAGTAGTAACTTAGCTATGCAATAGATGTAACTTAGCTATGCAATAGAGGTAAGTTAGTACAAAATAGAAGTAAGTTGTTACAACATTAGAAGTAAATTCGAGAGAAAAATATTTTGTATCTAAAAATTAAATTTAAAGTCCATAAATTATAGAATTGACTAAAAACTATAATAAACATAATCGACTTAAAGCATTATGAATATATAAAAAGTAATTTATATATATGATAAAAGTAACTTAAGTATATGATAAAAGTAACTTAACTATATATAATAAAAGTAATTTACAAGTATAAATATTTTTTCATCGTAGTATAATCATGTAAGATCTAGTTTTGAAGATTTAATTGCAACGAACGCAATGGTGTAATCGGATTATAGATCGGATAAGTAATTTGAGAGAAAACTTTGTAAGGGAAAAAATACATGCATGTGTAATAGAAATAAAAGGCATGCATATGCGCTGGCTTCTCCACGGTTTCTATGGTTGGCGTCACGTGATAAGACAATATCGAGAGGCCTCACTGATTAGTTTTTGTGCACGTCAATGTATTAGAATTCTGATCGATAAGGAAAAAAAACAATGTACGATGGATGGTCATCTAAGGGGCATCTACGACGCGGATGTTCGTGCAAGAAACAAGTCAACGAACGCCACGTTAATGCGCTACCGGTTTTCCTTGATTTGGTACGTTTTTTCATAGGGAAATTTGTATGATCAACAGCTACCACGCAGGTGAATCTCAAACCCTTTTATTCATCTATCGCTATATGGCTTCAGGTGTACGTGGGTCATATTGCTATACACCTGAATCGTTTGTATAGTGAGACTCTTTTCTCACATTTATTTTCTCAGGTCCGTTTTTACGCACTTTGATCAAAAAAATACTCCGAAGGAAATCTCAAAAGGAAACAAGGAAATCTCAAAAGGAAACTTTCTATATAAAATTTCACTAAAAACTAAAAATATTTACAAAAACTTCAATGTTTTTATAAAATATATTAACAAGGAAAAAATCACTAATTTTTAAAATAACTAGGAAGGTAGCCCGCGCATTGCGCGGGTATGTATTTTAGATTGTGTTTGAAAACTTATATAGGTGGAATATCAACCGGATGACACCAGTTTTTCAAAAGTACTACTACAAAAAACTTATATTGCCATGTTTGAAAAACTTATATTGTACGGGCATGTATTTAGATTGCATTTGAAAAGCTTATATAGGCGAAATATCAACCGGATAACACCTGCTTTCAAAAGTATTATTTCTTCATCAACATTGCTTAGATATTTTTCCATGCTATTTGTTAGCTTTTAAAATATATAATATTTAATCCATCGGTATAAACAATTATGTATGATCCATATAAACGCCTGCCATGTTTCAAAAATATCTATTTTTTTCTTTGGATAAATCTAACGGTGGTAAATAACGGGTCCACCTGATTTAATGAAAATCGATGGCTAGATGTTTAGTTTTTATTTCTTAGAATTTTTAGAAATTTCTCTAATTTAAGATGCCACGTTGTGGCTTAGGAGCATTTGTAGTAAAACTCTCTTAGGCCGTCACGTGGTATTCTACAATCTTATTGTTGATTTTTATTTAAATTGGTGGACCTGTTATTTTAGATTGCTAGATTATATCTATTTAGAAAGTTCTCTGTCGATTTTCATTTAAATTAGTGGGTCCATTATTTTAGACCATTAGATTATATCTATTTTAGAAAGTTATTTTTAATAAGATAACTTATGTTATCATCATAGATTATATATTGTGTTACAAATATTATATATAAAATTAAAATTATGCTCATCATAGACTACATTAAAATCCATAAACTTTAGACTGCACTGAAATTACACATCAGATTATATGTAATGGGTCACAATTATGCTCGTTGCAAAGAATCCCATATAATTGACAGCTCATGCCATCCTCATATTTCAAATATGTATTTTTTTTCCCGTAAAATATGAGACCCATGAAGACACATTTTTTACTTACAGTAACATCGAGACCACTCTTTTATATAACAGTGATTGTGTGTTCGCTCCCGGCTAAAACTCCATGGAAAAACAGATCTTTTGATTCCACGGTAACAAATTATGGTGTGTATTTTTGACTGCCTTAATTAGGAAAGAAAAGAAGAGATTGATGGGGGAGGAATTTGTACGTAAGTACGTACACATGTGGGGACGGCCAAGGAAAGGGTGAGGGGGATTAAGTTTTGATCTAATGGTTAATAGTATCGGGTCCACCGTTTTAAATGAAAATTGATGGTTAGATGTTTTTTCTTTTTTCATATTTTTTCTCTAATTTATTAAAGCGTCACGTGGTGGCTTAGGAACGTTTGTAGGGTGCCACATGGCGGTTTAGGAGCGTTTGTAGGAAGTTTAATGGACTTTTAGTATATAATAATAGATAGATAGATTTCAAAACTCCATAGAAAACTTTGACTAGAAACTAAAAATCTTTATATGTAAAAACATTATGTACAAAAACTTCAGTTTATTATAAAATAGATTCAAAGAGAAAAACCACTCAATCTAAAAATAATTTCTATAGGATATTCAAAACTTTCATGTAAAGACTAAAAATTACATGCCCGCATGCAATAGGCATGTAGATGCAGGGGTGGGAAGATTTGAAATTGGAATTTTTTTTGCAATACTAAAATAAATTCATAGACAAGCGGAACATCCGACACACATTATGAACCCTGCTTACAGCTCAGTCATAATACTTCCACCATTTGCCCAATTAATTTTAGTGGTTCTTCCTTGGCTTCTGGTTGTAAAAGAAAACGGGGTACTTTTTAAGAGAGATTTTACAGTACAACAGGCAATCCGGTACAAAATCTCAGTCATTGGCAGGGTCTGATCGGATGGTTGGTGTTAATCAGTACCTTGAGGTACCATTTACTCCATCATCAGGTGGTAACTGACCATGTTGAGCGAGGTGGATGGATAAAATTAAAAATTCGTGTTGGAGATTAGGATCAATCAATGTGAGCGATATGTTTCGGCGAGGCATGTGGAAACTGGAAACTGCAGTTTCTAACCCAAATCCCTGAGACGGCGATGCACAATTGTCGTCGGCAGCGAGGTGGCCGGTTTGTGTCACCGTGTGGAGCGAAGATGCTCCAGGAGTGGTGGTCAAGCAATGGATTTGGCGGTGCTCGAGGACTCAATTAGCAGTGGTGGCAGCGGTGCTTGGCAAAAGCATCCCTCCATGATTCTACTACCACTAAGTATGGTGGTAGTAGAAATAGATATGAACTATTAAATCAAATGAGATCAATCGTTCAGATTTTTTTCTACGGTAGGTAGAGAGCACCGGAGTGAGACTTCTCGATTTTTAGATAATGGAAATGGATTACATCTCCGGCTTCTGTCATAAGACACACAGCCATAAGTTTAATAATAATAAAAAGGTAAGATAAAAATAAATCAAGTATTTTCTTCTCGATTACCCTCCTAGATTGAATGTCCTGATTCTTGAAAAACCTGGTGGTATTGGTACCTTGAGGTACGTTGGACCAGAACAAACCTTTTACTTTTATTACACCAAACATGGAATTTATGCTTAGTTCTTCGCAAATAAGCTGTACGAATCCCACAATATTTTGTTAAGAGAATCAATAGAAGAAGCGACACAATTTCTCCTCATATCTTGCATTCATTCATATATATCATAATTTATTCGATCGAACAATGTCACACTTGCTTTTGATAGCGCACACACAAAACACTTGAGGGTGCAGGCTTCACTCTTCTTAATTGAAGCCGCTTCTACTACTGATCACCCTGTGCTCTGTTCTTCCCATTCACCTTAAACTCTGAAAGGAGAAAGAGCACATTTGATTGCGGCTTAAGCATTGCTCCGGAAGGAGCCGTACCCCCTGGCGCTGGCACGAAGGACGATCTGGTGGTACAGCGCTGCGATCGCCGCCCCGATGAACGGCCCAACCCAGAAGATCCACTGCGTCACACAGATGAACAGCAATGCAATTGCAATATCAGTTCATAGCTTGATAATTCAGAGTTCAACCGCATGATGAAACCATGCATATTTTTCTGTTTGATAGTAGTAATCTTGGAAGAACATATGTACCTGATCACTCCATGCCTTGCTGTTGTTGTAGACGACGGCGGCGCCGAGGCTCCTCGCCGGGTTGATGCCGGTGCCGGTGACGGGGATGGTCGCCAGGTGCACCATGAACACGGCGAACCCGATCGGCAGCGGCGCCAACACCTTGATTGATTAATTCATTGAAAAAAGAGAGGCAATGAGATCGAGTTCTTGCAACGTGCAATCACAAGTATGAAGTGTGTGTCTCCGGTGCTTACCGGGACATGGGAGTCGCGGGCGTTGCGCTTGGGGTCGGTGGCGGAGAAGACGGTGTACACGAGCACGAAGGTGCCGATGATCTCGGCGGCGAGGCCGGTGCCCTTGGAGTAGCCGGCGGCGAGCTCGTTGGCGCCGCCGCCGTACCTGTCGTAGAACGAGCTCTGGAACCCCTTGACGAGCGCGACGCCGCAGACGGCGCCGAGGCACTGCGCCACGATGTAGAGGATGGCGCGGACCAGGGACACCTTGCGCGCCAGGAAGAGGCCGAACGTCACCGCCGGGTTGATGTGCCCGCCGGAGATGCCGGCGGTGCAGTACACCAGGATGAAGATCATGCCGCCGAACGCCCACGCGATGCCGAGGACGCCCACGCCGCCGCACGCCGCGTCGTCGCCGGACGCCGACGCGTCCGTCTGGTGCTTGTACCCGATCACCGTGGCCACCGTGACGTACAGGAACAGCAGCGTGGCCACGAACTCGGCGATGACGGCGCGGTACAGCGACCACCTCCCGAGCTCGTCGATGTCGACGAGAGGCGCCGGCGGCGGGTCCTCGTAGTCCCGGACGCCGCCGGCCTCGACGTCGGCCTCTTTGCCCATTGCGTTTGCTCTCGCTTGCCTGATTGGCTCGACGGACGGAGGAGAGCAAGAAACGGAAATGCTTGGGGGTTGCAAGTGTTTGTGTTGTGGAATCTTGGGTGCCATGGGGGAGGTATTTATAGGGGTTTAAGGGTTTTGTGAGAAGAACAAGAGGATGGTCTTATTGTATGGTTTAATTTGGTTTTCTTAATTTTGGAAACTTTGTAGTGATCTTGGCTATAGCTGTCAACATTATTGTACAGCAAATCCCATGAGCTGTGTGTGCCTGTGAACCATGTAGTATGTACAACTCCCTTAATGCTCCATTAAATGTTTTGTTCTGGCACCATAGCTACAACATAAATCCACGGCGACATAGCTCGGTTTTGTGGAAGGGATGACCTGCTGATGAGCTGAGTTATGAAATATGTGCAAATAAATCAGGAATGCATCGAAATAGTCAGTAGTTTAAACTGAACTTGGTATTCAAATATAGGCAAATTTTGTTACATCACATTGTAACATCATGATTTTAGCTATACCGTAAAATTGGGAGAACGACACTTTCAAAGGTTGGATATTTATTGATGGACACCATAACTTTAAAATATTTATTTCTAATTGAATAGGAGAAATAAATCGTTTGAAATGTCAGGAATACTCACGGGCCCACATTTCAGCTTTCCCACTCCTATCTTTCTCTCATCCCCTCCGTCCACATCAACACAAAAGTGTGGTGAGGCAGGGACTCGTCGTCTCCTGAGACGGCCGACAACTCCCTCGAGGCCGAGCTGCCACTGCTATTGTTGTGTCACCGCCTCTCCTTCTTCCTCTACCTGGACCACAATGGCGTTAATCTGGACGGGGAGGAGGTCCACATGGGCGGGAGGGAGGCGAGGAGTTGGCAAGGGATGGACAAGAAGATGTGGTGGTAGTCGTCGGACAGCGGTGATCTACACAAGAAGGGGATTTGCGCGGGCCGACAGGGGGAGGGAGGTGGCCTTGGCAGCCAAGGATGGCGACGATAGGGTTGTGGCGGCGGTCATTGGACAGCTGGTGGATGAGAATGGACTCACATGGGCTGATTGCTAGAGGGAGGTAGTGAAGGCGATTGAGATTGGGGACGAGAGGGCAGTGGCGGCGGTCCTCCGGCATTGCTGATGTGGATGGAGGGGATAGAGAGAAGAGAAGATGGATGGGAGATATGACATGTGGGCTCAAAGGTATTTTCGACATTTCACACGATTTCTCTCTCCAATTCAACTAAAAGTAAATATTTTAATTGGTGTAGTGTACACTAGCAAATATCCAACTTTGAGTATGTGATCTTCTAAAGGTTCACTTTTGTGGCTTCCTATAGTTAAAACGTGAAGTTAACGATGTTATGTAGCAAAATTTATCTCAAATATATACATGTATATATAAATGGGATAGGCAGCACAAACTTTTCAACTAGAAAAGATGTCCGTGCGTTGCAATGGGTAGAGCCAATTTAATTTGCACATATGTGTCAGATAGAAAGGGGATGACATATAGGTCCCACTATTATTTTTAAAAAATTTTCTACCGACTTAGCATAAACAATTGTCTAAACCACTAATGGAGCTAATTTGCAATTTGCACCGGTTTTTTATGTTGAGGGAAGCATTATACCCGGTTTTGGGTTGAGAGATGCCATTTGATCATAAGCAAAACAGGAGATAGGTAAAATAGACTTATTCCTTTTCCTCAAGTTTACAACCCATATATGTTAGTTTGGCTATCTTTCTACAGCCCAATTATATTTGAGAGAATCCATTATATGCCACTGACTTTGTCACTCGGCTATGATTTGCCACTGACTTTGTCATGTTCTACAATATGTCATTGAATTTCGCCTAACTTCTACAATTTACCATCATCGTCCGGTTAGCCTCTGTTAGCATTGTACAATTTTGTCTAAATGACCAAAATACCCCTAGTACAAAACTTCCAAAATTTGGATAAAATTATCAAAATATCATATTATAAACATAAGATTGTAAACATCCATTTTTTTTCCAAAAACTTAAAATATGATACTTCAGAATTTTTATCCGAATTTTGAAAATTTTGTCCTAGGGGTATTTTGGTCATTTCAACAAATTTGTACAGTACTAACGGAGACTAACTAGACGGCGATGGTAAATCGTAAAAGTTAAGCAAAAGTCGATGGCATATTGTAGGACATGATAAAGTCAGTGGCAAATCGTAGACGTGTGACAAAGTCAATGGCATATAATGGATTCTCTCATTAAATTTGCACACATAAAGCAAGAAAATAATCATTTTCTTTACATAGCTCGATTCAATCTTCATTGTCAGTCCGAGCGAGCGAACGGTGGCTGAATCATGCCGAACTAAACTGATACGACAACGGAAACAAATCGGACGACATACACAATTTTTAGGCAAAAACACCTTAAACTTTTATAATAATAATAGTAGAGATTACCTAAAGATGAACTTGTGCACACCCACCATATCACACAATACACACGCACACATTACACTTGTAAACTTGCAAATGCATCCTTTCAACGCACGTTCAAGAGATGGAATTCCATGTTTCCAACAATAAAACATATTGTCAACCTACAACGTGTATTTCGGAACATGATATTGTTAGCATATAATTGTTCTACTACTCTGTTATGAAAATTGTGGGATAAATTCCTGTTTTTAGGACATCTCCTAAGCTGTCCTAAGGAGAGTTTATAGTAGTACTCCCTCCGTCTCTAAATATAATGGATTTTGGTTGGATGTGACATATCCTAGTACTACGAATATGAACATAGAGAATGCCCAGATTCGTAGTACTAGAATACATTACATCCAACCAAAATCCCTTATATTTAGGGACGGAGGAAGTAATCAATTAGTACATCCATGCCAAGAATCAATGATGCAATCGGGGTTTCCTTATTATGTGGTTACTGTGATAACCGTACGTACCATAGGTTTATTGTCTGTGGGTAGGTAACGTGTCCCACGCCATTAACCTGACCAAGTTTATTTTAAACATAAATTAAAAGTTTTGATAAATTTTGTTCCGTTTCTATCGGTTTATTAGAATTACCGTGGTTGGATATCGCCGGGTGCTATAACCCTCCCCCAAACGGCTAAACTGAAAGAGAAACCTTGGAGACATCGTATGCAATAACCTGACTCAAATTATTAAACTACCACAGAAAATTAACATCAAAACTATGGTTCAACTGCCTCAACAAGTAATTGTCGTTGAGAAGGTAATAATTGAATAATCCCATGATGATCTATTGGTTTGGGCAGCCGTTCAGCGCCGACCCTCATCCCCATCTTTGCTGCAGTATGGGCCCACCACCAGCATCATGTATCCTTCCATCTAAATCCTGTGGCCAGGAAACACTAATAAAAGCTAGATTATTTAACCAGCCAGTTCAGTGATCTCAATCAAGACAATGGAAAGGCTTAACCACATAATTAATTAATACAAACGTACCAAATGTAAAGTGTACATTCTGCCTCTGGATGTTGTCATGCTGAGCCGGAGATTCAATTCCATCCACAATTAAGCCGGTTGTTCTCCTGTCATGAACTATGGATATAATTATCTCACCTTTTTCTCTGCATATCTACCTGCTGCCTGCCTGCTTGATAGCTATCATTTAGTATCAAGATTTACTGTTTGCCTAATTAGATATAGAATGAGATCGAGCCTTCTCTGTTTGGTATTATGTATGCATGCGCCGACCAAATAATCTAGATTAATTAAGTAAATTCGTATGACCAAAAAAGGCTGAGATGAGGAGCTCAGTTCACTGGATACAACTTGATTAGCCCATGGTTTTTACACTTCTGACCACCATTAGTTGGATGGATTCGAGAATTTACTTGCCAATTGCCATTGTCTTGGACCTTGTGGATGCTGGATTGGCTTGCATTATATTTGACATAGATGTGGTAATATAATCCATGGCTCCTGATTGTTTTGCTATTTTACAGTTGTGTGTTTATCATGCGAAGACAGTACTTAGGGTGTATTATGTTGATAAAAAGTGAGCTGTTCAAGTTAGTATGTAAGATATAGTAGATTCTTTTCTATAAAAAGTTAGACTCTCTCCAGCAAGTGCGGTAAGTTGATAAATGCAAGCATAACGCTGACAATAAAATCTAGGCAAGTTAATTTGCTCGTGTAACTATGTTGGACTTGAGCGTAGACTGCTTGTTGCACTTAGAGCAGGTACGATAGTAGACTATAAATCAGCTATAAACATATTTTAAGGAGAGATAAGAGTAGCGGTCTACAGATTTGTAGCCAGCTGCAACACGAACTCCAAGATACATGTGGATATGACAAGTGGGACCATGCATTAATTATGTAGTACATGTTTATATGTAACTATTGTATGAATTAGCTACTAAATTAACTATAGATGATTTAGAGCCAATAGTTGGTTATACTATTAAACTTGCTCTTACTCAAATTTTTCTTTTGAGGTAATATTTTAATGAGTAAATTTTACAAAACTATAGATACTATGACCAAATTATCACAAAACTACAGATTTAACTTGGTGTATCACAAAACTACACATATAACACTAAATTTATCACAAAACTACACATTTAAGATGAAGTGTCACGAACTACATATTTAGTAATTAAATTATCACAAAACTTTAGGTTTAGAATCAATTTAATCACAAAGTAATGATGTTTATAGCTCCACCATAACAATGGTGCTAGGGATATAAACTCCAAAAGTTGTAGTTTTGTGATAAGTTCAATATTAAATATGCATTTTTATGATACTTAATCTAAAATATGTAGTTTTGTGATAAATTTGGTGCTAAATATGTAGTTTTGTGATGCAACTCCTTAAATCTATAGTTTTGTGATAATTTGGTCAAAATACTTGTCAGCAGCTAAGGGTATATGTGCTCTTTTAGATTTGGAAAAACGTGCACATATACTTTCCTCATCAGTTCACCACGCTCCATTTAACTCACTAAATATTTTTTTGTTGTTATTCTATGTTTGTTTAGCTATTACTCCTATATTATTACAAGAAGACCGAAGTAGAAGTAGAACCAGAACCACTGT